AATATAGAGTATGAAAATTTACACAGTCGTTAAAAAAGAAACAATGCTGTAAATGGTGTTTTACTATGTATTAACTCATAGAATGCTTGGCAGGTCCAGGTGCTCTGGCCTGACCATTTGTTTCAAGATTTTATCTGTATACTATGGTACTGTAGCTAGCACAAATGCTACCAAAGTAAAGCTACTCTGACGTTAGATACATCATATTCCTGTATTTCAACAATATTAAAGTATTAAAACAAACACTTAATTTTAAAAAATGTAACACTCCTCATGTTGACATTGAGACCCCATTCTCCATTGTTTTCTACTATTTACATTTTAGCTGAATTGATTTATTCCAACCCTTTTTCCTCCTTTTGTAAAAAAAATCTTCAGACTACATTGACCAATTTTCTTTTGCCTGTCTCCCACTTTGTTAATTTCTCTATTGGCATTGTAACAATATGGGGAAAAAAAGACTTTCAGAATGTGCTCACTCTAGTCTTGCAACCTCCGTCAGAGGTAAGACAAATGAACAACTTGACAACAACAAAAAAATTAAATTTTTACAGCGCCTTTCATGTTGGGAGGACGTCCCAAGGTGCTGGAAAGTCAGTGTTTCGGACCCGAGCTGGGGGTCTGGGTCGGGGAGGGGGGGAAGCAGGGTGATTGAAAGCACGGTCGAAGACGAATAAGACCGGCCACTATGGATGGCAGCTATTTTTTCCTGCTTTGATGTGGGGAGCTGAGCTGAGTTATAATGAAGATACCCACTTGATTGAGATATTAAATGACTGCATTGCTGACCAACTTTCAGAGAAAGAAAATTGGAGGAGAAAAAGTGTATTATTGTGGACAGCAACAAAATAATAAAATGACGACACATTTTGCAAATGTAATCCTTGCATTTGCTTTAACAGCAACAACAACTTGCATTTACAGTATATAGCGGCCTTCACGCCGAATGGCGTCTCAGAGTGTTTTACTACCTATAACATAAGAACCTAAGAATTAGGAGCAGGAGTAGGCCATTCAGGCCCTCGAACCTGCCCCGCCATTTGATAAGATCATGGCTGATCTTCAGACCTAACTCTAATTACCTGCCCTATCCCCATATCCCCTAATTCCTCTATTTTTTAAAAATCTATCAGTCTCAGCCTTGAAGATGTTCAAGGACTGAGCATCTACAACCTTCTGGGGTAGTGAATTTAAATGCAAATGACCTCTGAGTGACGAAATGTTTCCTCAACTCTGTTCTAAAACTGACCCTTAATTTTAAGACTGTGACCCCTGGTTATAAATTCTCCTACCAGGGCAAACAGACCCTCAGTGTCTACTTTATCCAGCCCTTTAAGAATCTTATATGTTTCAATAAGATCTCCCCTAATTCTTCTGTACTCTAGAGAATATAGCCCTAGTTTATTCAGTCTATCATAGGTCAGTCCCCTCATCCCAGGAATTAACCCAGTGAATCTACGCTGCACCCCCTCTAGGGCAAGTATGTCCTTTTTTAAATAAGGAGACCAAAACTGCACACAATTTTCTAGGTGCAGTCTCACCAAGGCCCTATACAGTTGCAGCAAGACTTCCCTACTCTTGTACGCTAACCCCTTTGCAATGAACGCTAACATGCCGTTCGCCTTCTTAGTTGCTTGCTGCACCTGCAAACTAACTTTTTGAGACTGGTGTACAAGGACACCCAAATCCCTCTGAACACTAACACTATCTAATCTCTCCCTCTCTAGAAAATAATCTGTTTTTCTATTTTTGCTACCTAGGTGAATAACTTCACACTTCTCCACATTAAATTCCATCTGCCACCTACTCGCCCACTCCCCGAACCTATCTATATCCCGTTGCAATCTTTTTGCATCATCCTCAGAGCTTACTCTCCCACCTAGTTTAGTGTTATCCGCAAATTTAGATGCGTTACATTCAATGTCCTCGTCTAGATCATTGATGTAAATTGTAAATAGCTGAGGCCCAAGCACTGATCCTTGTGGCACTCCACTACAACAACAACAAGATTTCATTTATAAAGCGCCTTTCACGTTGGGAGGACGTCCCAAGGCGCTGGACAGTTGGGTTGGGACCCAAGCAGGGGGGAAATGGTCAGGGTGAGGGGAGGGAGCGAGGAGGGGGTAGAGAATCGAGAGGGGAGCTGAAGGAACGGTCAAAGAGAAAGGTCTTGAGACCGGCCTTGAAGGAGGAAAGGGAGGAAGCAAGGCCAAGGCACTGGGGGATGGAGTTCCAGAGCCTCTGGGCTGAGAGGCTGAAGGCCCGGCCACCGATGGTAGGGCGGTTGGGGCGGGGGATGTGGAGCAGACCGGAGCCAGAGGAACGGAGGGTATGGGCAGGTACGTAGGGGGATAGTAGGTCGGAGAAGTAGGAGGGTGCAAGGCCGTGAATGGCCTTCTAGGTGAGGATGACGAGCCAGTGGAGGTGAGCGAGGGTGGGAGTGATGTGGTCCTGGTGCGGGACAGTACACGAGCTGCAGAGTTCTGAATGACCTGCAGCTTGTGGAGGGAGTTGCCGGGAAGGCCGGCGAGGAGAGAGTTCCCATAGTCCAGCCTTGAGGTGATAAAGTTGTGGACCAGTGTTTCAGCAGCGTGAGGGGTGAGGTAGTGCCGTAGTCTGGAGGTGATGGAAGGCGGTGCCAGTTGTGGTGCGGATATGAGGAAGAAAGGGCAGCTCAGGGTTGAACAGAACCCCGAGGTTCCTGATTGGCTTTGAGAGGTGGAGAGTGCAGCCTTGGATGCTGATGCTGTCAGCGCCTGAGGTGCGGAGGCGCTGACGTGAGCCAATCAGGAGGGCCTCGGTTTTGCGCACGTTGAGCTGAAGAAAGTTGTGGAGTTGAGGGTAGAGGAGGAAAGGTAGAGTTGGGTGTCATCCGCATACATGTGGAAGTTAACCCCATGTCTGCGGATGATGTCACCAAGGGGGAGCATATAAAGGGTGAAGAGGAGGGGACCGAGGACAGAGCCCTGAGGGACACTGCACAAGACAGTGCGGGGGCTGGAGGAAAAGCCGTTTGTAGAAACAAAATGAAGACGGTGGGAGAGGTAGGAGCTAAACCACTCAAGGACAGAGCCTTGAAGGTTGAGGTGGGAGGACAAGCGGTGGAGGAGGATAGCGTGGTCGACCGTATCGAATGCGGCCGATAGGACGGGGAGGCAGAGGGAGCCCTGGTCGCAGATGGTCAAGATGTCAATTGTGACCTTGACCAGGGCGGTTTCTGTACTATGGGCAGCACGGAAACCCGACTGAAGGGGTTCGAATAATGAATGGGTGGAGAGGAAAGAGCGCAGCTGGGAGGCGACAACTCTTTCAAGGACCTTGGACAGGAAGGGGAGGTTGGAGATGGGCCGGTAGCTTGATAGCTGCGACGCATCAAGGGAGGGTTTTTTCAAAGTGGGAGTGATGGTGGCAGTTTTTAGGGGAAAGGGAACAGAGCCAGAGGAGAGGGACAGGTTGATGATGTCTGTGAGAAGTGGCGCAAGGAGGTGGAGCCGGAAGATAAGGAGTGGAGTGGGGATCGGGTCAAGGGAGCAGGTGGTGGGTTTCAGGGACAGGATAAGGTTGGTGACAGAGGGTGGGGAAACGGGTTCAAAGGGGAGGATGGGTAGGAGTCGGAGTGTGGCTGGATTCCCTTGATTTTGGATTCAAGGAAATCCAGCATCTCCTCGCAGTGAAGGTTGGAGGAGATGATCTGCGCCGGGTGGTGGGGGGGACGGAGGAGTCGGGATGGGGTAGTGAACAGAAGCCTGGGGTTGTTCTTTGCCTCCAGGATTATCCTGAAGTAGAAGGACGATTTGGCAGAGGCTAGAGTGGAGCGGTAGATTTTGAGGAGGTCCAGCCAGATTTGTCACATCCTGCCAATTTGAGAATGACCCGTTTATTCCTACTCTCTGTTTTCTACCCATTAGCCACTCTTCAATCCATGCTAATATGTTCCCATTAATCCCATGGGCCTTAACCTTGTGCCTTTTGTGTGGCACTTTGTCAAATGCCTTTTTAAAATCTAAATATACTATCTACTGGTTCCCCCCTATCTAACCTGCTGGATACATCTTCAAAAAACCCTAAAGGGTTAGTTAAGCATGACTTCCCTTTTGTAAAGCCATGTTGACTCTGCCTAATCTTGTTATGGTCTTCCAGGAATCCCATAACAACATTGTTAATTAAGGACTCAAGAATTTTCCCTACCACTGATGTCGGACTAACTGATCTACAGTTCCCCATCTTTTCTCTCCCACCCTTCTTAAATAGTGGTGTTACGTTTGCAATCTTCCAATCAATGGGAACCGTTCCAGAATCCAGAGAATTTTGGAAGATCAAAGACAAACCACCACTATCTCAGTAGCCACCTCTTTTAAAATCCTATAATGTAGGCCATCAGGTCCAGGAGATTTATCAGTTTTAAGACCTGACAATTTACCTAAAACCATTTCTTTACTAATATTAATTCCCCCAATTTACTCGCTAACATTGTCTACTTGGTTCCCCTCTATTCTTGGTAGGTTAACATTGAAATGAATGTCTCAATTCACAGGTATTTGCTGTTGAGTGATGGTCAATTTCAATTTCTAACTGCTGTTATCAGCTTTCCTTTCAGCATATTACAGCTGTCTTGTTTTCAACAGGGATAAAAGTCCAAAAGGAATAAACAAAATGCTGGTCTGGTAATCAATAGTAGATCAATCTATCTGAAAGAGAAAGATAGGTTAATATTTTGGGCATGACTCTTCATTCCAACTGTGTTCTACACTCCGATTTTCTTTCAGATTTGCCAGATTTGCATTATTCTTATAAAATTTATTTTTTGTTTGTGCATGTGTGTGCTGAGGAGGAAATTGTTGGAAAAGGTGGCTAATGTTCAACATGTGTTTTGTTACATATATTATTAACAGATTTCATCTTTTAGTATCCATTATCAGAAACAATTTATTTTTAAAAGTGATCATAAGCAGTTCCAAGATTTCAGTCAGTACTGATGTGGTTGAATATATTTTTTGCAGGTGCTGATCTGAAGGAGAGAGCAAAGATGCATCCAAGCGAAGTTGGGCCTTTTGTTTCCAAAGCAAGAAATTTAATAAACGAGCTAGGTAAGTAGTAAAGTATGATGACTGATTCACCCATGAACTAAAGTACGTTACATGGTTTATGAACATATATATTCACATGGCAGGTCTGACTTTTATTCATAATTTAAAACAAGCTTGAAGCAACGACCAACTGTTTTCAGAGTATATGTTCATGGCAATCAATATTGGGATTCTAATTTACGATGTTTGGAAACCTTGGTTTTTACATTAATTCTGACTTCTATTTCGTGAATAATGAATTACGACAAATCCAAAGTTGGAAATGTTTGAAGAAAAACCTCCCCCTTCCCGTTCCTCTCTCTGTTCTTTGAGCATTTATATAAAATGTATTGAGTTTCTTTAACAACTGGCCAAAGGGCAAACGGTTATTTGTATCTTCTCATGAAGCATGAGGTCAGATAAATATCATCTGGTTTTTATTTGTTTTAAAATTGGTGTTCATAAGAAAACCTCAAAATGTTATAAAGAGCGTCTTTAGCGTCTTAAGACACCAAAGGTGTGGAATAGCACACTGAACGTGTACTTTCAAGAGAACTGTGTTTGAGTCCAACCCAGGCGGCTGAAAAGATGTGAAGTGAAATGAGTGAGGATATAGACTCAACCCATTTCCCATGGGGGTACAGGTGCGCAGCATAAAATTGCCCACAATTTGTCACCAAAATAGTGCAACTGGATAAATTCACATTGACACAGTGAGGGACACTCTTCTGAGATCAGTTTATGGCATGTGGTTGGGGAGATTAGGAGATTTATTGTATGTCTGATCATGCTATACTAGCCTGCAATCCTTGCTTCATGCATTATGGAAAAGTTAATTTGGAAAATTTGCATGTGATTACTGGAAAATGTTATAAGTAGAATATATTTATTAAAAATCATGATCTACAGAAATGGAATCTTTACATTTTACATTAAGGCCTTTGGTAAGTATTTGTTACTGATGAATGTTCCTTAAAGATTTTAAAAACTATTAACATGTATTTCAAAGAAAGTTCTTTTTAAAACAAAAGGAGAACATATTGTATGCACTTGATGACATGTTGACCGTTGTCTGGTAAGAGAGTTGTCTCACATGATACTTTTTAATCACTAATGACCGCAGACCAATAAATCATTAATGAAACTGCCATTGAACTCATTATTTAACCATAACGGAGTGCTTTTTATACTTCAATGGTCATTGATTTTTCACAGCCGTAATACACTTTTAAAAAATACACTGGAAATGACGATGTGATGTAGCAAAGCTTGCTTAATATTAGAAGAAAAGCTTGTAGCATTGCTAAGTTAATAACTCATAGGGGCTAAGTTTTCTTATGATCCAGTGGGTCTTGATAAGATCCCTATGATCCAGGCAAAGATTTCACCCCCAATTCAGGTTTTAAAAAAAGCCTTACTGGGACTTCTGTAACTTCTGCCCTTCAGTCCTGTCACTGAAACAGGAGGTAGCCTTATGTTGGATTTTGAACTTGTTGTCTAGGCTGATACTCGGATGCAGTTGGTCAATCATTTCATGGCTATTTTGTGGAACATCGCTGTATGCAAATCAGCTGCTGCATTCAACAACAAGATTACATCACTTACAAAATACAGTCACTACACCTCACAGTGTATTCTACTGAGTGCTTTGCGACATCCTCGTGATGTGAATTGTGCTATGTCAAATGTAAGGATTATTATTTTTTCTTTAATGTGAATACTTTGAACAGGAAATATACCCCCTGACCTAGATGCTTCCTCTTTGCTCTCACCATTTTTTTCTCTCCTGCTTTTCCTAAAGCACTTATATAATTGTACTGTTCCATGAACATCAGTCAAAGTCCATTATTACACCCAAGTGTAATATTATTTCTCATTATTTCTGAATGAGCCTTGAAGGTGATTATTAATAGGCAATTTGAAAAGGATGGTGGTGCAACCAAGTCTGCTTCTGTCCTCACCTGCCATCCACATACATGCACCTGATCAAGGCTCCCTGCATAGATATTGTGCAAGAATCCAAATCAGTTTCCCTTTCCAATCCTAGACATTGAAGCCAGTTATAGCATTGTACTACTTCCTTGGTTGAGATTAGCAAATCAGAGGTTGAACATAGGAACTTCCACTGAATGACTAACCTACTTACTGCATAAACTGGGCAAGACATTAGAAGAACTTGCTTTTCCTTCTTTAAGTTTATGTTCATTCCTATCCTTAAAGATGGCCCAAGGTTAAGAGTCTTAAGGGACTTGAGGCTTTGACTCCTTATATGTAATGTAAATATCCCCAGTAGAAATATACTGTAATCATAACATAACATCTCAATCCCTAGTTCAAGAAGGGGATGGAAAACACATATTAAATGTCCTCTTATTCATGATATACATGATTTATGTTAGATATTAAATCTAAAATTAGATGTTGTGTCAACCTAGTGTGGTGATTGCACTCTTCTCTCTTGAAAAGAAGGTTGTGGGTTCAATCCCCAATTCGAGTCTTGGAATCACGTAATCTAAGATGATACTCCAATGCAATGTTGGGGGTGTGATGCATTGTCGGAGGTGCAGCCCTCTGGATGAGACGTTAAATCGAGGACCCATTTGCCTGTTCAGGTGGACATTAAAGATCTAATGGCATGATTCGAAAAAAGAAGGAGGTTTATTCTGGTGTCCTGGCCAACAAATCCCCTAAAATAAAATTGGTCACTACCTCGATGGCTTTTTGTGGGACATTGCTGTGTGCAAACCGGCTTTTGCGTTTCGCCCACAAACTACACAGTCAATTCACTTCACAGTATATTGTGTGAAGTGCTTTGAGTCGTTGGGGTGATATGATAAGGTGCTGTTTCAAATGCAAGGATTATTACTAATGTGACTTAATTGATTTGTACATATAATTTTCTTAAAGCGTATAGGAAGTGATCAGGAGATTAGAATTAGATTTGGTTACTCATGGGAAAAAAATTCCAGTGCAAACTTAATGGGCTAATTTGGCCTGTTCTGTGCTGCAGCATTCTGTTATTCTATCCTTAGATTATAAGGCCCTATGTTCTCAATCCCTAGTTCAGGAAGAGGATGGCAAACAGCACTTGGTCAGAACTGCAAAAGAGATTTTGAAATGGATACAATATTATAGCAATTAGTTTCTCTCAGAAGGCATCATTGGTTTAATCCATCAAAGCCAACTGAGTATATCTGAGTACTTCTGGATTGGCTCCCAGCACCAGGCAAAATGTCCAAATCACACAACTGCTGTGGTGGTATTCATACACAGACTTGCAGCTAATGTCATCTTGTTCTTCCCTTTCTGGCTTTCAAACCAATGTGCTGAGTATTCATCAGGCTGCCAGGAGGAGCTTTTTTTATAGAATCTTAGGCAATTTATTAAGTGTCCCCAACCCACCATCCCCATCACCATGAGCTATGTGGTCAAAAAAGTACTTAAAGAACAAAAAACATCAAGCATGAACCACAAAAAACTCTTCAGCAGAGTATGTCCAATTTGACCTTCCACAATTTCTACCCAGTTTATTAAACTCCAGAGGGAAGATCTTGCAAAGATTCTGCCTGACCCCAAAGGTAATTGAGCAGAACTGTAAAATATCTATCCTCTTTATAACTAACGTTATTCATCCTTAACTGGTTGCTTTCTATGACATAAGATTTCTGTAACCCCAGTAATTTAGGAACTATGGTATTCCATAAAGTATTTTAAACATCCTTAGCTGTATTTGCTTTATTGTCCTTCAGTCTTTTTTCTTTAACAGATATTATCCATCTCTTTAAAGAAGTTATTGAACAAGCTTAGATTCATATGTGAATTGTTCTGTATGTGTGTGTGGGGGGTGGAGGATGCAATTTTTCTTGATCATTTCCACTTTTAGTCTTTCTTCAGTTTAAATTGAAGATATTCCTCTCAGTTAAGTGGATGATGTTGGAGGTTACAACATTCTTCTTTCTTATCTAATACATAAGTTTGGTTGAAGTGCTTGAAATTGTTTTTTGCTGCCTGGTAGATTCTTAAGTGAAGTAAATTTACATAGTCTAAACACAGGTACACAGTATAACACTGTTCATATTTTGGTTTAGAATATGAGTCTAATGCGCTATCTAATAGGAAATGGAACAATCATCGAGAACAGTGGGAGAGGTGCTCTTACAAGGTTGCAGTTGAAGATAATTGTTGTGCAGAGGAGGGGAACCTTAATCACTATCAAGGTTACAGCTCACCTGAGCGCCTTGATGCTGATATTAGGACAGTGTCAAGCTCAGCTGTAATGTCACTCACAGTCAAATCTGTCGATACTCATTGGAGTTGAAAAAGCAGTGCTTTGCAACGGAACTCACTAATAGTGGCTTCTGGAGTTTCAGATTGGGGTTTTATGAGTCAGCTGAACAGTATTGCTGGTAACTGGCAAGATTCCCTATTACTGATTCTGAGTTGCTATGAAGCTGACAAACGAAAGATAGCCACTTTAGTGACTGTGGAAATGTACTGAAGCAGAGTCAGAAACGGCAGAAAATAGTTGAACTGAAAAGCTGATTAAATGCCACTTTTCAAGAAGTACATGACAGTAAATCCTGAAAGACACACTTTGTTTTGCTTTCTGGTGGCTTGGTCTAAAATACCACATGTAAATTGCATAATTTGTACTGCTGGTTGAAAAGTTTTGACATTCCTCTAATTGAGTAGTTGTTGATGCCTCCTTCCAGACTAATACAACATTTTCTGTATATTATTGAGCACTTGATTTGAAAGACTTGTTGCAAACGCCATATAAGAGTTCCACCCACACAGCATAGATTTCTTTCAAAACTGAGGGTGAAATGTCAGTATCTTTTAAGTGATTTTTCCCCCTGCAGTGTCTACATTCTGTGTAGTAAGTGATAGGTTGTGAATATTATGCTGTAAATGCTTGAAAAGAAAGAAACTTCTTTTATATTTTTTAAGTGTTGCTATTCATTACAACAAACGCCTTCATTTCTTTGATGAAACTCTAATAGCACGCCTTGTTCCAGTGA